CCACAAAGCTCTCAAATGTAAATCCCATTAAAATATCACCTTAAGAGATAAAACGTCCCTCAAGAACTATACCATAGCAGTTCTATTAGCAGTTAGAAATATATTATAATTCTACTGTAATCTTGGACAGAGATAAAAGCACCATCAAGATCCAAACTCTGGTTAAAGATATCTACTACACGGAAATTAACTCTAACCGAAACACTAACACAGAGAAATAGTTAACGAACTTCTCAAGGAACGTGTAAAAAGATTTGGTTTACCTAAAATTCGCAAACAAGGCTACATTCTCTGTTCCATAGGTAACTGTAAAGATTCACCACGCCGTCTATTAGGTACATTTCTTGTAGATATAAACTTACAAGACTCGGTAATGCCAGAGAAACGACTATACAGTGAATATGAATGATACTATGATAAATTGAATATGAGAAAAGAGGCTGATAAAACTATATCTCAGTCAAACTAAAATATGTGTCAGCAAAACCTGGATACCCCTCTAGAAACCATTGAATAAAACCTTTTTCTTCAAATTTTAAGGGGGGGGAGATCTGAGAAGAATAAATAACATGCCATTATCTTTACCAAGAAGACCCAAGATCTAATCCTGAGCACCACAGCCACTACAAAAATAGTCTTTCTCAGGAACTCTGCGAAAGCGACAGCAGATTAGCAGACGAAACACAGTATAAAAACTAGTTAGTAATTAGTATCTAGTAATAAAACAAAATTAGTAACTAATTAATAACACAGACCTGCGAATTTAAACTTCATAAGAGTTGTTTTGGGTTTTAATAATAGATTTGCCATAATTCAGCTTCGCAGACTTCGAAAATAATATTCATTAAATATTTTTTTACAAATCGGGAAGAAAAAAAGATCTTACTTATATCAGATTTTTACTTCGTTTACCACAATGAACATTTTTTATTATCATGTGTGTTTCTCGTAGGTTTTACAACGATCAATAAGACTTTCACGTCGCGAGTGGTCTAGAGAAATCTACAGCCTGTGGTTGTCAACATTTTAAACATAACAAAATGGGACCCGATTTCAATGAACATGATTCACATATGTAAAAGTACATATAACGTTTTGTGAAAAATCTGTACGTGATGGAGCAAAATGGATATCAATTTCGGATTCAACGTACAGGAATTACTGTAGAACATGTAAAAATTTCAAGACAATAAAACCATTGCAAGCCTGTGTACTTCAATATCGTCCTTGGAATCTGACATACGAGTTTTGAAGTACAATAAAAGGCCACGTAAATGATAAAAGATATGTATAAGTGAATGTACGTTGTTTCTGGATGGATAGCCTTGAGTAGTTTCTTAGTGTATTAAATGATGTCCTTTCATATAAAGACGTATGCAAGCGTTTCTATATGATTGCTAAAATCTTAGACTTGCTTACGTCTCATCCATGCTGATGGATTTATGCAACCTTCAATCCCCCCTCCCCTTCTTTAATGTATTGCAAAAACTGCAAGTTAATTGATCGTTTTTAGTGTTTTAACTAACCCAAATATCAGGTCTATATTTGCTTTAATATTTTCGTTTTGCCAACCATCATATCCAGAGCGCAAAGGCTAAAGATGCAGTGATTTGGGTGGAAATCCGCAAATAATTGATTAAGAAAAAGTCTGTATTAAAATGTGAGTTTATAGCTTTGTATCATAAAAGCACCTCAATGCTTTGAATATCTTGTACGGCGTATAAATAAAATTTTATACATGTATTTGGCTGCGGCAAAATCTAGCTTAGTTTATGAGTCCTGAGTCTGAACAAAAGGTCTACTGGGCAATGGTTTGTGACAGACAAAATATTAGTCTGAAAAACTATTTGCAAACTTCTGATTGAAAATTGGTAAAGGAGTAATTAAGAGAAATGTAGGGAAACAATCTTTAGTCAAGTGTGATTTTATGGCTTTTGTTAAGCATATATTAAAAATTAAACCAATTCTTTGCCAATTTAGGCGTACATATTTTATAAGGTTAAAGTAGATACCTGGATCAGGAAAGAGACAAAAAAAAAAAAGATATAGCAGATCTAGAGCTCGAATTCCTCGGCTGAATTCTTTGGTTAGCATTTTCACCATGTACATGTTCGTCAGAGAAAGCTTGAATCTGGTGGGTTTACAATCACATTTAAAATTCCAAGACAATAAAACCATTGCAAGCCTGTGTAATTAGATTTATAATGATCATATGTAAGCTATTAACCACGACAACGATTGTCAGTACTTAAATAATTTTTATTTGTTTGTTTTAGGGCAAAGACACATTGAGCAATCTGCTGTGTCCACTGCGAGGAATCGAACCCCGGATTTAAGCGTTGTAATTTCGTAGACTTATCGTTGTCCCACCGGGGAATGTTTAGTATATCTAAAAAATGTGAATATTATTCTTGTATTTGTAATTAAGAGACCATTGTACGTTGATTCAAGACTAATAATAATTCGAATAAGACAACGATTTTTTTCCCGCAACTTATTTGAACGCGCACAGTACTTTGGGACCATAGATGTGCTATAACAGAAACGGTCATATCTCACTATTCGGTGAGACATAACTAGCAGTGGGTGATGTTGACTAGCTATCTTCCCCTTAGATTATTCAAAATACTATTTGAGCAAAATAAGCCATTATTCTGTTACTTATTTCTTCAGTTTTATTTCATTTTACTATGTGCCCAGAAATGTAGATGTCCTGTTCACATCTTTATTTTGTCATACAATGATACAAGTGTTAAAAAAATAAATGATTATGCTTTACAGATTATTTACGTGATCAGACAGCGGCTGCACATGAATCTTGGAGAGACGCTTATATTAGAATGCAGTGTTTGTTTGTTTGTAGTTAAGCATACAGTTATACAATGGGATGGCTGTACATATTCTGTGTCCATCACGAGTATTGAAACCCGGTTTTTTGCGTTATAAAGAGTACAGTAAATATTCAAGTTTTGACAATTAGAAATTGTATTCCATGATTTATTTTCTTGAAGGAGCATAGATGTCCGTCTCAACTCGCTAAACGTAATAATACTGATTTCCTGTATTTTTGTCGTAAGAACATATTTAAACAAGAACATTACTTACCTGACCGAACAGTCAGATCAAACATCAAATGTACTGACCATATTCACAGAAAATTGTTTATTATAAAGGTCGTGTATAGACACCGTTAAATAGTAAATAGCTCAATATGTAAATGAGGGTGATATCTTACAATGAAAGATTCTTAGCTTTTAATACATGGTATATCACATCTATATGAGCTGGTTTTGGATTGATAGGTATGACGTACTTTTTGGTACATGATGTCTGTATATTTCAGTTTAACCAAATTAACATAATAGTAACCAATGATCACGAATACAGGATCAACTTAAGTCTTTCTTGCCAAATATGGAAATTAAAAATACGCACTTATTTTCGTGTCGTGAATTCATGTGAAACACGTACTTGGGGCTCAATGCAAAAACATTACACGGTTGGCCAAGTATTAATGAAAAAAAAAAAAGAAATAGCCTGGTGCATTTTATTCACGATTCAACAGGTGTAATTGAAAAACCGAAAGAAAATGTAACAAGTTTCGTGCAGTATATTGCACAAAGATTTTTTGTTATTAATTCAGAACTTAAAGGAAGAGTTCTGGAAAGAGAATACAGAAAAAATGTAAAGCTGTTAATTGTTAAGAGCAGATGATTAGGCAAACTAATACATTCTTTGAGAGAAAATGATACTATGTTTTGTGGCAAAATTTATATCAAGAAATCTTTAATATAATATACGATTACTGTAGCTTTTTATCCAATAAGCCAGTTTCTCTACAGTGAATAAAAAATGTTTGAAGTGGTTTTAGTTTCTGACACTTACATACAAAGTATAGTTTGTTTATATAACATTATGCTAGTAATGTAAAACACTGTAAAAAAAATGGCAAAATATATACTAAACGAAAGTGTTGCGTTTTGTATTTATGGCAAAGCCACTAAGGCTATCTTCCACCATCTTTAATTTTGGACAACTGATCGGAAGGAAGTCAGCCAATCAGCACTACCCTATCACATACCGTTCATTAAGGGATTGATTGTCACTCTTATAACGCTCCGATAGCTTAAAGTGCGGGGAATATGTTGTGCTGTCGCAAAAATTCGAATCCAGCTCAGCAGCATTAAATAAACAACAAAAAATACTACGAATTATAAAATAAATTTTATTTACACAAGATGCAATGGTGAACTAATTGATAATATTCATGTATGTTATGTGAAGAATTCAAAACTTTCAGTATCAGGTTTGTGTTATCGTTTCAAGTTCAAAAGCTTATAATTGAATAACGCTTTCACAGTAATTAGTAATGTACTTCTGTTGTATTTGGATTGTGATATATAAATTTTTCCGTTAAAATCAATAGATTACTAGTATTAGCTTGTGATGTATTGTTAACAGTATAGACAGAAGTTATAAAATTTTCTTGATTAGATAGCATAGTATAGCATAGCATTAGATAGTATTCGGTGTTGCGTCCCGTGCACTGCTCTTTTTTTTGGGGGGGGGGAGTTTATGTTATATACCGTGATTTGTTTTCCTTTTCTGTTTTTTTAACACAAGCACTTTTTTGACAGTTTTGCTGAGAAAATTTATACTAATGAGATGCATTTTAAAATTAAATATCAACATTGTTGAACATAACAGAATTACTTGAAATACTGAGAAATAAATGTGAGAAAACAAAATACGGTTATATGCTTACAAATATATAACTCCAAGACAAAAGCAAAATTTGTTTCTGTACATGAGAAGGCATTATCATGAATGTGAAATAAAATGTTCGTACAATGGTGAGCAGGCATTCACTAACCATATTGTCAGAATAAACATTGCTGAAAATTTGGTTATTAAGGTATTCATTTACAAATCTTTTGTTTTCCCAAGTCAACGTTCCTGAATTCGCTAAAATCAGTCAAAGCAAGCTGCGTGGACCAAAATAAAAAATGAATTATGCTTTCTTTTACTAAAAGTTGATAAAGGTAATACATAAAATACTATATTTAAAATCCTATTCACTGTCACCCTCTTTATTGCTTTCTTGTCTTCTGCGCGTAAAGCGTCTTCGGTTTGTTGGCGTCTTTCTACGTCTTGCAGAAGCCGTAGTATTTGTTTCTGTGGGACGTTGACGTCTGGGAGGTGTCACTTGATGCTCACGAGATATTTGCTCTGTTTTACCAGAATTATGAGATTCATCCCGCTCATCTCTGGGTGAATCAACTGATGAATTGGGCTTTGACCTGGAGCGAGAAATAAAAGAAGGCAGTGTGGGTTTTGGTCGTCTTGGAGAGTGGGGCGGCGGTAGACGTTTTCTGGTATTTCGTCTTCCAAACAATTGTCTTCTTGGACCCACTCTTCCATTGGACCTGCTTCCGTTAACTTTTTTCTGCTCTTCTTCAGTAGATGGCTCTGGGAGGGTTTGTTTCTTTTCTTCGGGTACCTTTTTTGTAGCTGGGGCAGCAGAAGAAGCCTGGTCATTGTTCGGATGGCTTTCTTTAGCTTGAGGTTGCTTTTCTGGAGAAGTTGGATGCTCTCCATTACCTGCAGCAAGTACCTCGCCTACTTCATCCGTTGATTCATCGCTACTAGTTCTTTTGTGTAGCCTTTGAAGATGCTTTGCATCAGTCAACACCGCCAGGGGTAACAGACACAAAGTACCGAAGGCAAGAACCGTAAGGAGGCGCTGCAATTAATCATAATAATTTTATTAAAACGTTTGTGAATTTTTCGGTTTATAATATATGCAAATTAGAATATTGTTAAAAATCTGTATGATTGCTAAAAAAAGTTCAATGCAAGGTGATTAAAGGAAATTTTAATGGGTAACACTTCAAATTTTAGCTATTCAGTGACAAATAATGCATTATATTTCTTTACATTTGAATGGTTAATTGTTTCTTTTAGGAACACAAACTATTACACGCACAATACACACACAAAGTTTTGGAATAGACGGTATAAATATTTTAGACTAAAATAGTTCTATTCTTTAAAAAAATTACATTGCGAGGGATGAACTTAATTAAAAAAGAGTGATGATGGTGTGTAAGAAAACATGAAAAATGACGTATCATGTTATATTTCGTCCTTCCGCACACATTATTTGGAATGTAACAGTCTAGATTTTGAACACTAATTGTACTTTTTCATTTATTTACAGGAAAGCACATAGTGACCTATTATGTTCTTTGTTTACTGTTAAGCACAAAGCTGCATCATGTGCTGTTCCCTCTACGGGTATCGAAACCCAGTTTTTAACGTTATACCTATTTCATTAAACAAACACTTTAACCTAGAAATCTGAGAAAAGGATAAATTAGGCTAACAATGTACTTATTTATACAAGTTGAACGGAATCGGATTTTCTATTCATCTGTTAAGCACAAAGTTACACAATGAGCTATTTGTGCTGTGTGCACCATGAGTATTGAAACCCGGTTTCTAGCGTTATAAGTTTTCATACTTTACCGCTGAGCCACTGGGGGTGGGGGCTTGTGTATTAATAGAAATAAACGTGAAATAGTAAGAATATGCCCCCAGTGGCACAGCGAAATGTCTGCGGACTTACAACGCTAGAAACCGAGTTTCGATACTTGTGGCGGGCAGAACACAGATAGCCCGTTGTATAGATTTGTGCTTTACTTCAAACAACTAGTAAAAATATGCATTGTAATTAATATAGATATTTCTATAAATATTAAATATAAATGTTTTGTACCAAGATCGTGTTATGGTTAAATATTAAATGGTCTCCTTTCAGTGAGCTAAACTTCCCTAAAAAATAAGTATAAATTGATCTAGTATATCATACAAATGAAAAACTTACCTTCTTTATTTAAAAACAGTCGGTTGTGGAAAAAAACTTCTTATTTTGTTTTTTAAGTATAATGTGTAATGCAGGGATTGAAACACAAATGTTTTACATTTATACCCTCAAGATTTACTCTAAGCCACCGTTTGATTGTAGCACTTGAACGAGCCAGTTTATACGCTGTGTTCGTCAGATCAGGATTGTTGTGTTAAAATTTACGTTTAATAACGAATAGGAATAATTTTCAGCGAAAATGTGTCTTGTGATTTGATATATATATTTTTTTCGTATTTGGAAATCTAAAGTTTTTAAAACTATTAGTTGAAACCATAGGTAAACAATTTCTATATTAAATACAATAAAACATTTTCAGTTAACATTAACTTTGAAACACCCCTATATATATAATGTTATTAGACTTTTGGGGATAAATCACTTTAATAAACTATGGTTCTATTATATTTTACAGGTGATGTTTCTAATGAACGCTCTTTCTCAATTTAGAAACAACCCTGTTAGTGTAAATCTAAAACTTTTTTTTTTCAAGTGTTACCAAATAAATTATTGTAATTCAGCCGAGAAATACTTGTTTTGTCCCATGGTGACTGTTAAATTACAGATAGATCTTTGCTAAATGTGTCGTGATTGAATTTATGCCAACTCCGGCTCTAACGCTTAATGAATAACATAAAAAACATAAAATACGTACGAACCATGATTAAGGGTACTGTTCTTATCCTCTCTATCTCGATGAAACCCGTCGCCAGCAGAAAATCTTCCGGCAGGTAAAATTTGAAATGACTAAAAATTTAAAGAACCTCGCTTTATATGCTTCCTTACCGTCTGACCTACATATCCAGTCTTAGAGGAACCTAAGAAGCTTGAAGTATGTTGATGGTGGTGTCAAGATAAGTAGGGGGGTAGGAAGAGGGAAGACAAATGAATCCTTTGCTTACACGACTGCGAGCCACGTGTTTAGATCAAAACCAGTTTTAACAGTCTTATAAATAAAAAATAAAAAATGTTATAACAAAATATAGAGATTCAAAGGGCCGACTAAATGTTCAAAATTTGTAATATAATTATAATATCTTTATAGGTTTACACCGGGTAACATAAAGATTTTGTTTGTGCCAACGCCATTAAGTTTTCTTCCTCTTTTTGAGATTATTCAGGTTCAGCTAAATAAAATTGAAATTATATACTACCAAAATGGGCCAATACGGGCTGTTTATGGGTCAAGGCGTTTATTGAAAAGCAGAAAAACCTCCACCAAACAAATCTTACATACGGTCCCTATATGCACCCCAACGTGCTCCATTTAGGTTACCTGGTCGGGAAACCAGCTTCAACTAGCTGGTGCTGGTCTGGTGGTAACTTTTCCCGGGAAGAATTGTAATAATCTGTTACATAGAAAAGCCAAACCACTAGAATGACAAAAGCTAAAATGTCAGGAAATTTATCTTTAAAATACTACGGGACAAATACTACGTAATATTTAGACAAAAAATGGTTAAATCGTGTTATTTTCATTGCTGCCTAACTTTTAATCATAAAATGTTTCTGAAATTTTCTTAGTTGAACCTAATAAGTTAAAGTGTGACAAAAGTTAACACACCTAAGAGAAGGTGTAATCAGTAACTATGAAAAAATAAATCTTGCTTTTTGTTTTATTATTTATAATCCAAATATCATTCAAAATGGCGTAGGTAGGTGTAAATATGACATTGTCAAGTTTGTTGATATTAAAAACCGTTTAACCTAATTATTGTTCTCTAAGTATCAAATTGAGATTGTGGTAATTTTCGTTTGGAAATTAAATGTCTGGTGTTTTATCATTGCCTAGAACACTAACGTTATCTTGATCCCGGTTTTAGATTATGTTCTATTGAATTCGATGCTGTTAGGGTAAAGATCATATGAGAATTGTGAAATTAGCAGTGAGTCATAAATGATTTTAAACAAGAATATCCTCCCACCCCCATTGGCTCAGCAGTAAATCTACAGGCTTATGTTTCCATACTCTTGGTGGGCAAAGCACAGATGGCCCATTTTCTAGCTTTGTGCTTAATAATAACCATCCATCCAATCAAGTACATTTACGAGATAGGCTAAAGTAATTTTGAAAAAAAAGACACTGAATTTTTATTTTATATTTATTGCAAGGCTACCTGCCGTCCCGAATTTTGAACTACTGACCAGAGGACAGGCAGCCAGTCTGCATCATCCACCATACACACTAAGAGTTGACTGTCACTCTTGTAACGCATCCACAGCTTAAAGTGTGAGACATATTTTGAGACAGACGGAGATTTATTTAAAGTTCAATTATACTCATGCTGTCATTATTGAATCAGTTAGCATGAATTTCTTATGGAAGTTTGCCTCCAGTGGCTCATTGGTAAAAACTGCGGACTTGAACGCTAAAAATCGGGTTTCGATACCCGTGGTGGGCACAGCACAGGTAGCCCATTGTGTAGTTTTGTACTTAACAAGAAATAAACAAACTTTCGGAATTTCGGGGAGTAGCATAAAATAATTTTTTTTTTTAGTATACACATCAAAGGTTTGTCACAAACTTTTAGCCCCCCCCCCGTGTCAAGCGGTATGTCTGCGGACTTATGCTGCTAGAAACTTGATTTCGATACCCGTGGTGGGCACAGCACAAATAGCTCTTTATGTAGCTTTGCCCTTAACAACAACAAAAATCTTACTTTTACATTTTTCACAGTTTATGTTTTCACGACGTCGTTAAATGTAGCATCCTCAAGTCAATAAGGTTTTTTTTTCTCGGTTTTATGACGTGTAAAAAACACATTTGTAATTAGATTTCTTATACAATGCCAACAATTTGGGCTCAAAATTATAACTTTGGCTAAATAAAGTGTATCTCTTTCTCTCTTTCTGTGACATGAATAAACCCGGTATTCTTAGGGTAACATTTTTTGTGGGGGGTGGGATCAAAGATATTCAAGAAATACTTGAAGTAAAATATTTTTTAAATTCAAAAATATCATAATATCTTCTTTTCTTAGGGTGAGGTGGTTTGAATTCGATGGGAACATGTTGAAATTGCATTTGTTTGTTTCAGAATATTTGCGCAAAGCTACACAAAGGGCTACCTCAGCATAGCCTTCTTTATTTTTGTACTCATAGACTAGGGGGGATGCAACTAATCAACTTTGCCCGTCGCCATCTCTTAGGCTACTCTTGGCGTACCGAACAGTGAAATCTGACCATCACTCTTATAGCGCACCCACGGCCCCCAAAGTGTTGAGCGACTTTTTGGGGCATGGTCCACGAGCCATGAACCTTCGGATTCTAAGTCCGGACACATTATCCACTAGGCCATGACCCCCAAGCCAAAGAAAGAAATGTGCTATGAGCGATAATTTAATTTTTTTTTTATAATTTATGAAATGACAATGTGATACACTGATAAATATAATGGTAGGCTAAGACCACATGCTGATCTATTGTACCTGAAGACTGAATACTAGTATTATCGTGTTGTTCTGCATTGCAACTAAAGCTATTATAATAATTGGATAAAGATATGAATTCTCTTTTTTAGACTGTTAGTTCTAGAAATGTTTTGCAAATCATTATTATTTTTTTTTAAATAATGCAAACCTTTTCTTTTTAAAATTATTAAGCCTAACTTGGGTAAGCTATTCGAGGGTAAATATGTTGCTATAATTCACTTTCTAAGACTGACTGGAATTAATTAATTTAATAAAATGAATACTAACAACCGATTTTTATGATAAATAACAGTTTAGTTTCTGTTACCAGTTTCATGATGTCTTTATAATGATATACTACTACGGTCAATCACAACTGTTATACAAGTAATAAAAAAAATTAAATGTAAAATGATGCAGGGATGGAAGAGCCAAAAATAATACAAACAATAATATAGGGATGATACAGCTATACATAGATCAACCCTACATGACTTTTAATTTTAAGATTTAATGTTACACTGTAAAATGTACGAGTTCAAAATGGTTACGGTCAATTCGACCGATCTCATAGCGAGAGTCTGTAATAATCAAGATATGTTTTCCAAGATTTTTTTTTCCTTGTACGTAAGTCCTAGGCTCTTAGTTACACCATATTGATGTCTTCCCTGACAAGACCATGATATTACGATAAACAAATCGCATACCAACAATCAGGAATATATAACTTCCATCTGCAATAATATTAAAGTCAAGTATGTATTTTACAGTGTAACATTAAATTTTGATATTGAAATTCATGTAGGTATGATCCGTGTATAGCTAATTTATCCTTATAGTCTTGTTTGCATTCTTTTTGGCACTGCCATTCCTACATCATTTATGTTTACAAAATGTTTTTTGTTACTTGTTTCGTGGCATTTTTTTTTCTCCTGACTGAAGGTAAGTGTATTCTATGGATGTGGGTAATAAAATTTAATATTATGTGTGTTGATTTTTTTTACTCCTTCACTTCATATATAATATATGGGTTAGCTCCTTAAAGACACCGATTATATAGTGTACAAAGCATCGAGTATTTACATGTTACAATCATCTAATGTTCATCTATTATTCGCTGGTAATTCCTGTTTCACCCTGTACTTAAGAGTTTTAAAGGAACACTAACTTTCTGTAAAAAAGCTAACTTCAAGGGGTAATGATAACATGGTTTACACTAGAATTATGATTTTTTAAATTACTACCAGTTATTACGACTATAAAATGAGATCGTGCACTGCCCAGAAACACATAAAGTGGATTTAGGTTGCAACTGACGTTAGTGATAAAGTAGTTGTAGAGTTACCTCGACTGAAACAATAAGAAAGATGAAGGTGAACAATTTGGTGGGTTGGTCACTTTCTGGTTTGGTATCTTAGTGATGGTTTCTTCCTTTGATTTTGGGCTTGTTGGGTAGAGAAACAAATCATGCTGAGTGGCAGCCATCTTTTAAAGTAAAATTCTCTGTCATCTATGATTTTTTTTAGAGTGTATATTTGTTATACACCTATTAAATACCTTGGCTATCTCTACATATAGAGTCTACCGATTATTGTTATTATTTACGTAATGATGAAAAAAATACTAATACACGTTCTGCTCAGATTACCAAGCATCCCTGATTCGAAAACACAAAAGATCGACTAATAACGAAATAAAAAAGAACAAAATGTATTTGTTTTATATTTTTCACGAAAAGCTACGTAACTGCATCGAAGAGAAAAGGTGACAGGAACACTTAAACAGATTTTACTCGAAACTTCTGAAGACACTTGTGTTTCAGTATGATTTTTTTTTCATTAATTACATCACTTATGGCTTTAAAAGTCTGTTTAAACTTACTGGAAAAACATTGGTATGCCTATAACAAAATTTCCTGAATTAAGAGGCATGGAATAACATTTTTCATGTCAGAGTGTGGTAAGGGGAAAAAAAGATCATTCCAGAAGATACTGATCTTTACTATAAGTGGTAATTTCATTTCATGTTCCATCTGTGCCACAAACGAAACCTTCCAATTCTAAATAAATTCAGATTATGAGACAGAAAACGACAATAAATGCATTATTTGTCTATAATTTATATTATTTTCATTACAATTTGTATATAAAAATACATACTTCAGAACTGTAAGAAAATTGTCAACATAAATAGATTAATTTCTGTTGTGGGCAAGAAGCCTTAGTTTTTTAAGACTCAAGTAAGTGTCTTTTAAAAGCGATATTATATAAACATTTACCTTGATTTGATTGTTGTTAAAAGACACTGGGTAAGAACGT